TGTCCACAGCTCTTTTGTCTCATGAAAACTCTTTCCCCTCCTCTGCGCTGGCATTGTTGATGTGGTGTTCTACACACCACTAATACCATCCCGTAGGCCTCCCAGATGAGCTGGTCAATGTTCCCTCCTGACTGGCGAAGTTTTAAGTGTCACTAGAAATGGACCTTTCTTTTGAGTGCCTCTCAAAGGCCCCAGCTGAAAAGAGCACAGAGAGAATACAAGAGAGGAGATTACAGACAAGGGCCAGTCAGAGCTACCCTATTTAACACATTATATCCAGTCCCCTCAGGTTACACTTATGCACAGCAATATTTTAAAAGAGAGCGAGGGAGAATGAGAACGAGAGATTGCTTCCGTAATAGCCGTAGAGACCATAACAGAGCGCCGATCTCCTGTGATTGCAATCTAGCACAGAGTTCCTGTGAAATTAAAACATGCGTTTTGAGTGGGAAAGAAAGCAGAGAAGCGAATGGGAGGGAGGGATAAAGGAGAAAGGCAAAATGCGGCTCTGGTTACTTTGAAGCAGAGGATCAAGGCCAGAAAAAGGAATAAAATATGACAAAACGACAGCAGAGAGGGCTTATGGTCTATAGGTGGAATTTTACAGGCACAGACAGCAATTACTGGCATACATAGCATAACTCCAAATATTAATGTTTGATCTCCTATTCCACTTTTCTGGCAAGCTTCACCAAGTGCTTTTCCATACCCCACTGCCACTTCAAATTAGTTTCTTGGCAGCTTTACGACATGTTCTCTCACTGCATTTCCTTCCATTTCTTTCTTTCTCTCTCTCTTTTTCTGCCTGCTTTCTGTAGTCTGTCGGCGTTTCATTTGAATTAAAAATAATCTGCGCCGAGAGATCTGGACGTTAATTGTGGAGCGGAGAGCGGTAATCACAGGCTTGAGGTTTCGCTCAAATCTGATGATAGGCATTTAGGAAAGCGAGCTCTGATTTCGGGGAAGAAGGCTGCTTTGGTGCACCTCATCCAAACCCCGACATGCTCCATATATGTAATCATAATATAATCATATCTATTTAATCAAATATAGATGAAAAAGGGACATTTTTTTTATAGCCAAACCAATTTTGCCACGGTTACTCTACGTCCAAATAAAAATATACTATGCGGTTTGGGGAAAAAATGACAAGCATAATATATTATGTAGTAAATGTGAACCTCAAATAAAAAAATTTAAAAAAGTAATATCATACATGGATCTGTTTTAATTTTAAATGAAACTGAGAATTTTTTCTTTTACAATTTTGTCCTGCTATTTTGGTTGCACACTGTTGCACTTCATTAGAACTCATTGCTCATATAAATATCCATAACCGCACGTTGTATGGTTAATTACCAGTGATGTTTCCTTGACTCTCAAAGGGTGTTTGATAGTGGCCCTGCTGACCACCTGATCCTGGGACCTGGAGCAGGGGGCCCCTAAGCAGTGCTGAACTTGTCCTCCATAGCCTGCACTTAGAGTCTCATAGGCCTAATAAGCTTCAGCTGCCTCTGGATCCTTAAAGCCTGTTGGGCTGAACCTAGATTACCTCAGGCTTGTTGTGACAGAAATTAGCGGAGGGCAAAAATGTGCGAGTGGGAGTATTTTAAAAGTCCACCCCCTCCTCTCCCTTGAGTGGCATTGACTTCTCTGTGTTGTGTTAAGAGCCAGTCTGGTCCCTTAAGATGGTTTACTGCATTTCATTTCTTTTTTACTGTCAGTTTATCTATATGAAGTTAAGACAAATAAATGCGTGAAGACAAAAACACAATTTTATGCAAACTCTAAATATATTTTCGTACACAATTTGGTGTGAGTGTGTTTTGTAGCTAATAATTTAGAATAATATGTTATAGTAGTAGTATAATATTTTACTAAATATTTTACTACAAATAGAAGCAGAATAATAGTTTTAAGACAGGTAGTATTATAAAGTAGCAGTATAAAGTATTTTTAAAATGTAGCTTTATTTTCATTGTATTTTATTTTGCAATTTTGAGACATTTTTCTATTTTAATTCTATTTTAATAATTTAAAATTAACATTTCATTTTTTGTTTTATTTTGCAATTCTGAGTTTCAAAGTTCAGTTTTAATATATGAAAATACTAAAATACTGTACTCTATAGATTACATGTGCTGAATTTGTGGAATAAGTATATTTTAATTCACACAGAGAAAAATAAACTCATGTCTGTTTGGTTGAGGCAGATGTTGGAGGTTGAGCGTGGTCTTACTGTATATTGATGGAGCGTGCAGCTCCTTTTTTCCCCCAGGCTCAAAGGAGAAGGGGTGAGAGATATAGAGAAGGAAAGATAAACATCCAGCAATAAGCTAACACATTCTCTTACTCTGTTGGGGGCAGTCAAGGTCAGAGGTCACTGCAATGCGAGTCCCTTGTTAATTCATTGGCCCGCAGTGCAGAGGGTTAATACTGGTTTGCTAAGCCAAGGGATCCCAAATCAGTCAGATTAAGGAGATTTTCCAGGAATGTCCGGCATTATCTGAAGATTGCTGGATTGTTTGGGTTTGAGTGTCCATGGACTGAGGTTAGTGGAATTAGATCTTCAAGCTTTTCCTCAAACCCGGAGGGAAGGAGGTTAATATTACACCACGGTTTGGAAACACAATTAAGTCCGGTCTTAGTGTAATCGGCGCAGACGTGGTTGATCAGTTTAGTGTTTAATTCTTTTTCCTGGTGTTAAATAACCTGCCATGTTAGTCCCAACAATACACAGTGCAGCTCTCTCCCTCTTCTTATTTTTTAAGGATGCGGTCACATTTAGAAAAGAATCCTTGCAATATAAGCAAAACATTTCGCCATGCAGATTTCACATCGGGTTCAGGTTTTTCAAGTGTTGACCAGAAAAGTATTCTACTTTGAAAGTGACTTCGGTTTTCATACATTGACACTAATTATTCAGCAGGGCAAAGGGTGCTGTTCTGGGTCAGCCTGGGTGATTCTAAACCCAGTGAAGGAAGGCTGTGGCAGAGGGAACCAGGGAGGTGTGTGCTGCTCATGAAGAGAGGCTGTCTCCCTCCCCCTCATAGTAGCTGCACCCTACTGGGAAATTCATTAGCAGCTGACATCATCTCAGTCCGGCCAGAGAGTGAAAGAATATCATTCTATCCCAGTTCCCTCCTCTTCTCTCTCTCGCTCCGTCTCCCGCTTGCACTCTGTCAGGACTCCTCTGCCAGTAGCTCTCATTGAGCGTCGTACACACACACACCGTCTGTCCGGTGAAGCTGAGCGGAGGAAGCACGCTCCCTGTGTGTGAGGCAGAAACAAGCGGGGGGTAGGAGCTGAATTAAGTCAGGTTAGAATCAGGAAGTGGGAGGACCTGGTCTCGCTGTGGGTGAATGAGAGAGAGTTTGTGTGGATAGAGGCAGCACTTGCGCGAGGAACGGGAGCCAGCGACAGGACACGAGCTTGAAACCAGCGACGATTTCGAGGAAAGGTAGCGGCTTTACTCCACCCATTCTGCCGATAGGAGAAAAATACTGTACGCTTTGTTGGATTTTCTTGCTCTGCACGAGCGCGCGGGAGATGGTTTGTCACTGAGCGCGCGCCCCTGAATAAAAAAGCACATAAGTCCGTGTCCGTTAAGCGACGGTTGGCGAGGATTTCAAACGGCCAAGTCGCACGAAGAGGAGGACGAACTGAAGGATTTCTCCACTTCTCTGCGCTCTTGGGGACCAGACACATGGCTGCCTTTGTCCGAGAGCCTCTCTCGCTTTGAGCTCTGGATGTTTTCTGCTTTCTCTTCTTCCCTGGCAAAGGCTCCTTATTTTGCATGGCTGTCAATCGCTCAAAAGGAGCGAGAGGAATTCGCCGCCTGTTTGTGGATTACATTGTTTGACAAGCAGAATGTGAAACGGCGTATTTACTAAACCTCCTGAAAGTGATTTCTTGACTTGTTCTTTTCGTCCGTGCCAACCTCGCCACATCTAAAGGTACACCTCACCTTAATATACCTCAAAAATTGATTTTTTTTTAAAGTTCATATTTCGATTACCACAATGTTATTCGACGTTTTAGGGGAAATAAAAGCAGTTTCGGTGGATTACTCGATGGCTGGAGGATTAGGAACGCTGTTTTCTTGTCGCTGGTTGTGGATAATTGTAACGCTAGTTGAAATCTCTGCAGTGAATGTTGCCAGATGTTTTTTTAATAAAGCGGTCGCGCAAACGCATCTTTGTGTGGAAGCGATGTCTCTTGACGTCATGTGTTAATGAATGCATATCACATTATTATTATCATTATTATTCACGTCTTCAGCTGTGAAAATGGCGTGAACGTTTTTTTTATGGAGTTAATTTAAGCTAAGAAATGTATTTTAAATGGGCAAATATTTGAGAGGATTGTCGCACCTTGTCAGTGTCGTTTTTGCCTCGAGCTGGATATGGATATAGTGTTGCTAAACCTGTCAGAATAATTGCTTTACAATGAGCTGTTTTTCTGATAATATATTCATAGTTATGTATTCAACGAAAGACATAAAAAAGTCCCATTGTAAGTCTACATCCACGCAAAAGCTCATCTGTTTGTTAGTGTGTTGGTTAATTATTGTAAAATTGTTATTTTAAAAAAGTGCACATAGCTCGTGTATTATTTTTCTCTCGAATGACAGTGGAGAGTCAGGTTAGATGCTAATGGGTGGACTGTAATGGTTCAATCTTTGTTGCTGTTTAGCCAATTTAATTAGCCGATGCCCCTTTGACACCACATTGTCACTTAAATAGGCTTTCATTACCTAAATGCTGTGTAAATTGCAACGCTGGATGTTTGCACAATAACATAGCAATGTTAATGCGTTCAACCCGGTCTCAAGTGCAACGCGTCGTTTGGCGCATGGAGCCACAGTGCCATCCAGTGGCCGCTCTGGGAAGTGACTGAATTTTTGCGCTCATTAGTGCTGCGCTACCTTTGATGATGAAGCCCACCTGCTTGGTTCTGAAACAGATGTACTGACTCTCTCTTTCTCGCTCCCTTCTCAGGGCTCAGATGCCAGCTCAGAGAAACTCTTCAGCACAGCTGCAGTTAAAGGTACGTGGTGGACTTTCTTTATTCCATTCTGCATGTATGTTTATTGCTTGTGCAAATCACAGTTGTGTAATGGATTTTATTGTTTCTGTAGAGGCACATACTCTAAATGGCTATGGTTGACAGTTAAAATTAAATTATATTTTAAAGGCGTTATTTTAATGTTACTAATTGATCTAAAAATGAATATTATCATCACTGTATGTGAGGATAACCCTGGTCTATATAATATTATGCGAGTAACTGTGAACTGAAGCATGCAATCTTTGATGCTTCACAAGTCATAAACTAGAATCCGTCACATTATTCCAGACAACCTTATTTACCAATACTGCATTCAGATTACGCTTAATGTGTTTTGCTTTCCGGGGTGGCATGGGAAATAACGCATTTCCTCAAGGCTGACTACGATTCCATTGACAGGCAGTGTGTTGTATCCGTGCTTTCTCACAGCTTATGGGCTGGGAGAAATCCATCTGAGCCACTCTGTTAAACAGATCCCAATGTGCTGCTGAGTGATGAATGAGAAAATCCATTTCAGGCACGCAGCATGTGTAAACGCCACACACTGGGTCCCATGTGCAGCGGCGTCTGGCTTCTGTTATGGAAATTGATTAGTTGTGAAATGCTAAATAAAGGTGCTGGATCTGTGGCACAGACGGTAGTGGAAGAAGCAATTCTACCCTGCTGGTTTGATACGCCTCGTGTGTGATATTGTTTGCCGTGTCTATTTTAAAAGCATGCTTTGTTTTTATACAGTGAGGAGCTGCGATGCGCACACCGTCTGTTCTTTGTGTGCATGTAAACGTCCCGCTATGTGCGTAGGAAGTTGGTTCGTGTGGAGTCTGCAGTAAGAACGCGCGAGACAAAGGATCCGGGGAGTCAGTTGAGTTGCTTTTAAAACCTCAGTGTCTTTAGACAGCAGGAGCCCATCAGCACACCGCTAATTTGCTTTTAAAACCTTTGGAATTTGAGCTCCCCCATTTTACAAACCCCGGGCAGGCCAACATAATGGAGCCCAGCCTTGTGAATCCACATTCCTCTGTAATGGTGCGTTACCAGGATGGAGAGCGTGATGGGTGGGGTGGAGTGGGTAGAGGGCGACGGAGGCTGGAAAGAGATCTGACCCCGGGGAGGAGGTGAGAGAGAGCGACTGATTGATGGCGACAAGCCCCTTGTTCCTCCTTTTCCCCCTTGCTTCTCTCCCTCGGGACCCCAAACACATTTCCCACATTCTGCTCTTTGAAGGCCTTTCGAGGTTTGAGATCCGGGCAGTCAGTTGAGTTGCTTTTAAAACCTCAGTGTCTTTAGACAGCAGGAGCCCATCAGCACACCGCTAATTTGCTTTTAAAGCCTTTGGAATTTGAGCTCCCCCATTTTACAAACCCCGGGCAGGCCAACATAATGGAGCCCAGCCTTGTGAATCCACATTCCTCTGTAATGGTGCGTTACCAGGATGGAGAGCGTGATGGGTGGGGTGGAGTGGGTAGAGGGCGACGGAGGCTGGAAAGAGATCTGACCCCGGGGAGGAGGTGAGAGAGAGCGACTGATTGATGGCGACAAGCCCCTTGTTCCTCCTTTTCCCCCTTGCTTCTCTCCCTCGGGACCCCAAACACATTTCCCACATTCTGCTCTTTGAAGGCCTTTCGAGGTTTGATTTGTGAGGTTCAGAGGGGCGCTGAATGGCGACCCTTTTTCGGAAAGGCTTTCCCTCCTGGAGACGCCTCGCCGTGGCCATTACGACCCCTCTGAAAGGATTAAAACTCCCTTTGTGCGCCTTAAACTAACACATGCCCGCCTCCTCTGCTTCTGAAAAGCTGGTGCTTGGGAAACAGTACACAAATATGCTTTCTCTTCTCACTGACTGCCAGGCCACTTCGTCTCCCTTCAGACTCTATTTCCATTTAAATATGTGTCTTTTCTCTCTCGTTTCCCTCTCTCCTTCACGTTCCCCTTGTCCCCTTCTCGCCTTGCCATATGCAAATCTTTCCATTGGCTGAAGGGATGGAGAAAAGAGGATCGTCCTCCAAAGCACAGGTGCAAATGAACTTAGGCGCTGTGGTATTTTTATTGGAGGGTTTTAGGAAGATGAAAGATGGCGAGTGTACACAGGACGCTGCTCTCTGTTACAGAGGATTACCAGTCGCTCAGACTCTTAACCCTTACGAACAAAAGAAGAAAGAGAACGTAGAACTGAAGAGCTGAGAGACAGGCAACAGAAAAGCTGTCAATATTTGCCTGGAGCCTAGAACCAGAGGCTCGCTACTGTGTTTTTCACACTTAGGTGGTTGACGCTCACAAAATGCCTCACATTCAACAGCGAGATGAGAGGGAAGAGTCGCCTCTGAGGGGAAAATATAGATCAAACTCCAAAAGAGCAGAGCAAAACTGATCTTAGATCATTTATTGGGCTGTAGGCCATTTTGAGCACTGGAGAGGGAAGAGAAGGAGGGATAAACAGATGTCATTGTCAGTTTTGTCACATAATTTGTGGCAAATTTTAAGATTAAAAAGACAAAGTTAAAAATTAAACAATTTCCAAAGGGTCAGGAAATTAATCATAATCCAACTATGCACTAAAAATGCACTAACCTCTAGGTATCTTAGAGTTGATCTTGCTTTATGGATGGTAATCCATATTACGCTTCTATAGAGGCACATAGCTACATAGGTTGTCCTGTAAGTGACAACCTGTTCAGTAAGGTTTACATAGATGCCCACTTCACATGTTCTTTGCCGAATTAGACCTTCTCTTCGCCTCTCCTATTTCCTCCTCTCCTTCTCTCCCTCCTGATGTTTTGTGTAATTGTTGCTTGTTTTCTTTTTTCCCTCCTCATTGCTCTGTCTCTCACTCCTATTAAGCAGAATCATTAAATGTTCGACTTAATTACTGTCTCTCTCACATAGCCTGCAGGTGGCTGCCAACCAGCCTGCCTCAATTAGTGTATTCATTTCCTTTTGCTCGATTTCGAAGCAAGTAAGAGGGAGAACAACAAGGAACTGTGACCAGTTAACTACTGTGATATGTAACTAACTATGTTTCATCAGGGATTCTGAGACTCTGTAGCACTATCTTTGTTTATCTGTTTGTTGATAAGAGGTGTTTTTCAATTATGTTGTTCCCTCCATGCTGTTCAATGTGAGACCAAACTGTTTGCAAACACAGAGCAGACCATAATTTTTGCATTTCATTATATTTGGTTACAGTTTATTTTAAGGTGTCCTTGTTCCAGTGTAAATATACATTTAAGTACTGAGTAATATCAATTAACATGTAGCCTACTTACTATATGGTTAGGGTTAGGATTAGGGTTTGGCTTAGTGTTACTTGCATGTAATTATGCATCATGCAGGGCTCGAAATTAACTTTTTTACTTGGTAGCACTGGTGCTCCCAACTTCAAAAAGTTAGGAGCACCAGCAAAAATTTAGGAGCACTCACCAAAAATTTAGGAGCACCACAACTACAAATTATATATTAACAGATTTTATCCTTACATTCTTAACTTTAATGCAGATTTTGTATTGGTTAATATTAGCTGTCAATCTCTCAGTCACTGCTTTCCGCTAACTACCGCGAGAAAAAGAAAGGGCTGAAGAAGAGAGAAAATGAAAAGAACACTGACAGATTTCTTTTGTAAATAACCTAAAGTTAAGTTCTTCTTTGGCAAGTGTTAGGAGCATATGCGACCAAAATGGTCGCAATTTCGAGCCTTGATCATGCATATAGCATGTGTAACATGGACACCTTAAAATAAAGTGTAACTATTATTTTTCTGTTATTATCTCAGGATCTTGAGAAAATGACAAAAAAAAATTAAAATGCATGGCTTCTGTGGGCTTCCAGTTTGGTGTTGTTATGAACTTCAGATATCTATACTAATTAGGGATGCACCGAAATGAAAATTCTTGGCCGAAGCCGAACAAAATGAAACACTGGGCCGAAAGCCGAATACCTAACACGGTTTTTCACATTTTTCCCCCATGTAGGCCTATTTTGCCATTTTTTTTC